TTCCCCCTTTTTTCACAAAAACCTGTCCTTTATTTATACTTTTGTGAGGTTAGTAACACATGATACTAGACTGCCTAGCAACTGATAGCAAACCTTAATCAGACAGGATGTTCATCTCAGGAGTGAGGTAGCTCGTTTGCTTCAGGCACTGGGCCAAGTCCCACCTTCATATATTTGATCGAATTCCAGCCTCTTGGCTCCAACATATTCCCCTTTTTCATTTTGTTTTTTCAGAGATGGGTGTTCCACTGAATATAGAGAAGCTGTATTTGGATAAGTCGTTAAAGGACCTTTTCATACTTGAAACCAGTCTTAAGATTGTAGGTACTTGAATTCAGCAAAATAACTCAGTATAGTCCAATAGTCCTTAATAGTAGTGGGTTATCAGCAGAATTGGCAATTGCCAGAAGTTTTTGACTTGAGCCTTTTACAGCTCAGCATACTAATATGGCATTACTTTTATACCTCATGGTTATACTTTTCTGCTGGATGGTTAAGGTCAAGTTAAAGCAAGACCTATATAACTAAAAATTTAACTTTTGCATCTGACAACGTCAGTCAAGTCCCCTCAGAATTTACCCTGTAACCATGTACAGCAGCTTGTAGATCTTTTGTCAGTGTCAGCCATTTGGATGAGTCATGGCCATTTCTTGACCAGTTTGCTCTCTGTGAAAGCCTGAGAGATTTTTCTTTCTAGGTGACTCTCCTTAGGCACACTATACATCATTAATCACTTTCCTCTGTGGCCCCATAAGCTCCTTGATCAGAAAATTTGGGACACCACTGAGTTATAGGATGTCACAGCACAGGTTCTCTTATGTCGTGAGTCCTCACTGACCTTGAAGGGCTAGGGCCAAAATACTGGCTATCCTTGTAGCCTCTCTATTCCTCTAATTTTGGTCTGCAAATTTCAGTTATCAAGCATCCAGAAGAGAAGATTAATGATATTATTACCCTATAACAGAGGCAGTTGAGCTAAACATCACTATCTGTCTAAATATCAAATGCCTTAGACATAACATGGAACTGCTATTTTCCAACAACCATGGATATTCTAAACTTTAAATCCTTATAGAATGTGAAAAAAACCAACTACACATTTTTACACAGAAATTTAGAAGTCAAATCATATACAACATTGTAGCAGGACAATCCTATGACATTTTTTTTTTCTTGTCTCAGGTTTTCTTTTATTACCTTTTTTAAAAAAAAAAACTTTAAAAAGAGTATAGCAATAATTGGTATGACATTAGAAGCAGTATGCATTTAGATGACCAAAATGACAGGTATTTCAAGCATGGTTTGAAATACCTGCCATATTTTCTAACTTTTCTCCTTTCTCTCTGTTGTTTAAACTTTAAGTTCTCACTTTCCATTTAACTGTGTTATTCTTCTTTTGAGTTCTTACACTAGGGAGACAATATGATGTTTACACATGTGGGTCTTGTTTATTTCACTTATGAGTATATCTTCAAGTTGCATCCATTTATATATGAAGGCTTTGAGTTTATTTTTCTTTATAGCTGAGTAATACTCTATTGTATAAAAACACCACATCTTTTTCATCCGT